TGGAAGTCCGCAGCTCACCGTGCATAGTTTTCAGAGTCTTTGTGTGATCGTATAATAACGTGGTTCTCTTGACACGAGGTACACCTCGCACGAAGTTATCCTCGTCTCTTTCTTCGTCATCATTATCTTCATTCTCTTCGAATCCGTAAATGGAACTCGTTTCCGTTGTTTCTTGAACCAGCTGAAGAACCGTTCGAGACTCAGTCTTGGCGCCAGCTTTATCACCATTGGAAAGAGGCTGCAGTATTCGCACCTCATTACAGACTACTCTCTCATAGACGTTATGATCGATCGTAATTTCGCAATTGCTACGTGAATTGAACAATCCGTGCTGACGATGTTGCTTTCGCGGACTTCTATAGGGATTCGATTGCACGATAGAGAAATATTTGGGGCCATTTCGACAGTTAGCCAGGTATTTGCTCTTCTTCACAATCAGGCTGGTTTTCTTGGCCTCATACAGATGGTAGTGAGTATCACAGATACCGTGAACATCCATCTCGTCGCCGTGATGGTCTACGTCGAAGCGTCGCATGCTGTTTTGCAACATCGACAAGATGCCCCGTTTAATATTCAATACCCAGGCCGATTCACGTTGATCTGGGCATAGCTCGTGGATCAACCCATCATCGAAGGTGAACCTCAACTCGTGCCGCTCGAGGTTGGCCTTGAATTCGGAACCAGCACGATCCGGAAATTCGGAATTGTATTTGCTACGATCGTGGCTGATGCTGGCATTCAGAATTCTTAGAGTGCCCTCGCAGGGGCTGTTGAAGTGTATAGACAGGGTAGCGTCAATGTGTAGAGCTGAATCATTCCTTGAATGACTGGATGATAACGGATGATAGCCCAGATTTGTGCTTACATCCACAGAATATGTATATATGTAGTGGATATTTTCGTGATATTTGAATTTCTCCGATAGAACTAAAAAAAATCGAGATAAAATTAAAGTTTGTTTTTTAGTTAAATTGTAAAAGTTCAGATAATGCCCATTTTTATCAATACAATGTAGATACGTTGTCTATAACTTTAATTTTGGTTTAACTTATCTTTTATCTTTTTTTAGCTCTAAAAATTAAAAGTGGACATTCATAAAAAGAATAGATCTAAATAAATTAACATTACGCGACATAATATTGTTAAAATTAATCTTCACTAACATTATTGAATTTTAAAGACACAATCAATTTTTTGATTGTGAATTCTATAATAGACATAGAAAATATATAAAATACAATCCAATAATATTCTGATAATAAAAATTTATTCTTAAAGCTTTCACAAATATGTAAAATTTTTTTTTAGTTCTTTAAACTGTTCAGAATATAAAAATCTGCATCAAATTTCAAAGATCTAGATTGAAAAGGATAAAAATTTTACATTATTGGCAAAGAGTTAATATATGTTTTTTTTCATTTTACGCGCGTATTATTCTATAACGACAGATTTCTTAAATAATTTGAAATCGATATTTCTACAAAGAAAACAGAGAAAAGAGTGAAATTTTGCATATCTTTATTTTCCAAACCTTCGTAAGCATCATGATTTTTTTACTTCAAAATACACATAGATAGAACATTTCCTATCCGATTAATAGAAATGTAATATTATTAAAAATGGAAGTAAGAATATTATGACAAAATAAATATTAATAATATTTCAACAAGATAATTAATCAATGAGAGAAAGAGAATAACATTTATTATTAACTGACATTAGTAAAAGCTTCGAAGATATATTTCTACTGCATCTATCAATAATCTGTTTTCTTAATAATTATCATTTCCTCGTATTTTCTTATCTATGCAAATATGCGATTGAAAAATAAACGTCAGTGTCCTTCACTTCGCAAACGCACGTACTATGATAAAAATATAATAATTGAGTAGTTAATATGTGTGTTAATATGTGTATTAATTTAGCGAACTTATCGCAATTAATTCACATTTAAACAACAAAAAAGAAAGAAAAATAGAAATATGTATAAAAGAAATAAAGTTCGCTAAATTAATTGACAAATTATTATGTGAAATAAATTATTTTTAATTATATTAGAAAGTTGGCTTTGCGTAGCAATGAACGAAATATTATCTACACATTTATTTACTCTAAATAATTGCAGATTAAGATACAAAATGAATTATTGTTCTTCAAAATTAATAATATTCGGATATATAAAGAAGAAGCATAAAAATGTAATATTAAAAAATGCTGTTTTAATGATTTACCAAAAAAAAAAAAAATGAATTAATCACTGAAATATGAAACAGATCTTTATTTAACGATAGGACGTGGGATAACGACTTCAGAGAGTGTAACTTAAGCCTAGAAATATGATAGCTGAGTGCCGGATCGTGCTAGTCTGAAGTATCTGCATAAAAATGTTACCTACTCTTGCATTTTGTTCGGCCACACAGCGTTGGGTGATCCTTGGTAATCTCTGCGAGGAAAAAAAAATCGTAAAAAATGTTACATATGTGAAACATCTGGCGCATATATTCACTATATTATACTATACTACACTACATTACACTATATATTGTATACATTATGTTAATTATTTTCTGTTAATTCTGTTAATTATCTATATTAAATTCTATTCGGAAAATAATACATTGATCATATTAAGCCTGGACGATATAAATTACATTTAAAAAATTAAAAATTTTTTAATAAATAGATTTCAATAATAATAAATAAATTTAAAGCGTATCTTAAAAATTGGATCGTTTGAAGAAGATATTGTTAATATATTTTTGAACTATATATTTTTAGATTTATTAAATCACAATATTATAACGCTTTCTTTATTTATCGTTAATTTCAAATAATTCAACAGCAAGAAGTTTCAACGCGTCTAATATGATTAGATTTACTTGGAGATCATTATTTTCCTATGCAAAATGCACTGCCGCTCGATAACGATTACACATAAATTAATGAAACACCGGATGTCGCAATAAATATATACACACCACAATTTATGTTAGTACCGGAAATTGTCGATAATTACCTCCTCGCACAGCAGTTACTGCGCTTGCGAGCGCAAGAAATAGTATTGCCTTAGTAGTCATGGTTTCCGGGAACAATCCTTATCGCTTCCAGAATTTGCGAAACCTTCCGATATCAGATGCTTTTACCACGCGGTCTTCATCCCTCGATGCGAAACTATCAAAATAGTTTCGTTATTTCATCGATTTAATTTGTAAATCCTGTTGATCAATCAGTATCAAAGAGTCATCACTGGAAAAAGGAACTTTCCTGATAAATTTTCCTGATTTTTAATTACATCAATCACACACTGTATTCTTCTTAAATCTCTTTCTTTCTTCTTAGGATCTCTCGCCACTTTTGATTTTTGAAAGTTTCACTTGGATTGATTTTAAATTATACGGAGGTGTATCTATCGAGATCTGTCGTTGCCGCGGTGGCTGGGCTCTTTCTCCCGCGGTGAAAATACTCGCGATAACCACCCGGATGATAAACCGGGGTGTGGATCGGCGGCTTGATTGGAGACGAAGGTGGAGGTGGAGAGAGAATCGAGAGATCGTGCGGCGTTCACTGCGTGCGACTAAATAAGTATTTCCGTTACTGGCTGACCGACGAATGATCGAAGAGGGAGAGGATCGGATGTTAAAGGTCTCCTGATGCTTTCTCTTTTTGCGCAGAGGTCGGAGGTCAGCTTGTCTGATAAGATATAAGTTGTCCACGACGAAATCCTAGGAAACTTTGCCTTTATGCGTAAGAGAGGCGTCAAGAGTGTCGCACGCATAGAAACCGTCAGCTTCGAATAGCGTTAAAATCAGTTTCGCTGACTTGACTAAAAAGAGAAGAAATAATGTTAGCTTTACTAAGACATATTCTTACATTTCGATGCACGTGTTCTTGCACTCAATTTATTTTTAAAGAAAAATACAGTTAAACGAGATGGGCTTGAGATAAATCGATTTGCTCGAAACAATTGTCAAAATACGCTGAGAAATAATATATAAATTAGGATTAATATATAATTTCTTTATTTATGTTTTTTGACTATTCCAAGTCATTTAGTTTTCCTTCATATAACTAAAAATACTTTTTCTTCCCTTTTTATTTAAACGCTATGCTATCGAATCTACATTAGCATACATTTATTGTTTTGGCTTCAATGCGATTATTTTTATTTTGTCGAATTATATGTGAGAAATGAACGATGAATACATAGGAGTGTCAAAGAGATTAAAAAGTACCGTTGTCGTTGGATAGGTATTAATTCAATGGTTTAAATACATAAAATACATAATTAAATACATTAAATACATAAATAAACAACAATAATGAGAAATTAAACATGGGAAATCAGAGGAATCAAGGAATTATTAGGTGTTGGAATTAATTCGTAGCGTTTTACAAGTGATGGGAAGTACTTTCATTAATGTATTTTTTAATGCTCATGTGAAATAAATAACATTCTTTCATTAAAAAACGCTACGAATTAATTCCAACACCTAATAAGAAATTTCAGTCCGCAATACAAAAATTAGTTTTTCTATCTGGAGACAAGGTAGTGTCTCGACCTGGTGGAAGGGATAACATGGTGTGTGCAGTTGGACGTCTTTCTCTAAATCTCCGCCCTCTTTGTATATATATATGTTCGTGACTTTCAAGAATTACAACTAAAACGCGAAATATGGGACGGTATTCATAGTCCGTTTTTATTTTAAAACCGTCTTAAATATAATGTCTTAAGATGTTAATACAATCCTCGGATTAACTTACGGCATCTTAAAATTGTACTTAAAACAGTCTTAAATATAAGAATCGGCCTGTTTCGCGTCGTGTGTTTTAATATGCATTAAAAATAATTAAATGTGTTATTTTTATTGTATTAAAAATTACAAGCATGTTAAACGCAGTTATTTTCGCACGTCATGATGTAACGTCATAATTCAGTAAAGATTTGACAGCTGCCTTACAAAATGAGTGAAAACATGCAAAAGACAGCGAAAAAACGTTGTTACAAGTGATGCTTTGTTCCCTTATGTAAAAGTACAACTGTTTTCACGCTTTCAAAGGTATTTGTATACCAAAAGGAAATATAAGGAAAAAATAGTTCGAGATCGCAAGACGCGACGATGCTTTGTCTATATCATTGAATATCAGCATGTTTTGCTGTGAAGATCATTTTAACGTAAGTTTAAATATTATTTTTAAAATTAGTTAACAAAACATAATTCACAATTCGTTTTACAGTTGCAAGAGGATGTAGAAAACTATATGAGAGTACGGCTTGATCCAGATGTATCTGTACAATTAAAAAAAGGACTATTGCCTACAATATTTGATTGTCAACCTGACAGATAACGTTGTCATTTAAAACATGAATGTCTAGGAATTCTAAAGCGTCAGAAAATAGAAAGTTTGAATGAAATCTTATAAACTAAATCGGTTGATAAGGCTTGTGGACACATAATAGATGAATCTGTTACTGAAGAGACAGACGTCAATATTGGTAATTATAGATTGATGATTATATTTTACATATATAGTTGAATTACATAATATAATATTGAACAATATTTATAATGAACTTGTAGATAATCCTTCATCAATTGAAGATAACAGCGTCGAAAGTAATTTGAATAATGTATTTCCAAAATACAAGGACATCGGCGTTTAAGCAAAATTACAAGTTCGAAAAATAATGCGTAGCAAATACGTACAAAATGTAACTGTTATACGAGATGTTATGTAACAGAAATTCAACAGAAGCAAAAACAACACAATCTTCATCGACAACCAGTACTACTATAACAAATAATCTTGATGATACTTAACGATGAATACCTATCATCCGAAGAAACAAAATATGTATGAACAGAAGAAATTTACGAGAAATTTAAAAATAACACTTATTACAAATAAACCAAAAATGTATTTGGGTATTCCGAATGATTCCTTTTTAATAAAATTATTAAATCAAGAAACAGTAATTACAACAGAAGAAATTTGCTTAACACTTTATAAAATTAAATTAAATGATACTTTTGCAAGACTTGGCGATGAATTTGGAGTTAGTGCAAGTAGTAATGCAAGTGCTATTTTTCGAAGAACTCTCTTCCTATTTTAGCACATTATTTAAAACAATTAATAGTTTGGCCTTCAAAACAGTCTTTAAAAATAAATTTACCGTTACCATTCCGTGCTCGATACAGTCACATTCGATCAATAATCGATTGTTTAGAAATTGAAATTCAGAAGCCTAGGTCTCAAAACGATGGCTAACATCCTAAGGATGAAATCACACAGTCCGGAATAGGATTACGGAATACAGAATGCATCATTGAAGCAATCAATCAGTGCTATTCCGCACTTTTCCATCACGCAAGTTTTGTGTGCTATGTTCATATGATGCGTCAAAGAAATGTATATTTCTCAAATCGTTTCGTTTTCCTTATACAGAATAAAAAATCCTTCTCCAGAATAAAAAAAAACACAAATACTTTTGGAAAAATACAAACCAATATGAAAATCCAATATGAAAATCAAAAAAATGTAATTTACAGTTTTCTGTTACCATGTAGATTCGCTTTCTTCATATATATATAAATGCAAGGATATATTTAAACAAAAATACTTTCCCATATTTGAATAATTTATAAGAATATCATGAGATCTTTAAATTATAATTTTGAAGTTTACAAAAGAAATGGCTTGAAAAATAATTTGAATGTACATAATCTCGCATTATATGATATATAGGATATAGCAGAGTAAGAAACATTTGTACGTAACATTTTACTTAATGATTTTGCTTAATGTACGTAATGTTTTAATTAATATATGAATCTTTTCTTGATGTACGTAATATTTTATTTGGAATTAAAAATCTGTTTTATCGACATTGATTAAGTTTGATCGTCGCTCCAGCATCCCCTTAAGCAATTTGTATATAATATTTTTTATTCGTCATATATTGTATTCTACTGAAAAAAATCACGTCACACAGTTGCATGATGAAATCATGTAATTAAAACAGATTGTTCTAAATCAGTACGTGATTTTAAAATTACATATTTTGAAAAATCACATGATTATATGTTTTTCTTCTATTTCTATCATTCAATTCATTAAAATTCGATAACTATAAAATCATATGATAGATGAAATTATTTCTAATATTATGTGATTTTTCAAATTACATTTTAAAAAATTACGCACTGATTTGGAACAATTCGTTTCGTGATTTACATGTCTTAATTACATAATTTCATCATGTAACGTTGTGACATGATTTTTTTCAGTAGAGTAAGCTACAACATATGTGAAAACCAACTCATTTCACCCAATAATTATTTTTCCATATAATTAGTGGATTAGGATCTTTTAATTTATGTTAGGCCGTTATTGTTGTCTCACAGCGTCACACATGCACGAGACGCGACAGTGGCGACCTGGCGACAGTGCCGACAAATTGTTATCAAATTGCATATGGCGCAATATGGCGGGTAGCGTCAAGCAACGTTCGGTGTTTATGATTTGTCGAGTGAGATTTCAATCGGGAATGCCGTCGCCAGCAGACAGTGTCATTATCGTGGTGCCGATGGTTATCAACGATCGACAGCGACCATTCGAGCGTGGCGCGATGCGTTGCCTGATGCCGGCGATCTCAACCCGCTTTGGCGAGCATATTGAGGTTAGCTTTTTGAATTTGCGCCCGTTTGCATCGTTGCCCTATGGTAACGCGCGAGTGTGAACCGATGCATTTGTATTTCTTTTAGGAATACAAAATATTGGATTTATTGGGTAAAGGCGGCTACGGAAGCGTCTATCGTGCGAGATGTCTCCGCAGCGACGTAGAAGTTGCGATCAAAATGGTGATTTTCATATCTGTTTCTTCTTGGATTGAGAGATGCCTGTTACTTCAGTTGCATTGTTGCTAGTCCCGAGATACTTTGAAACATACCAAATCATTTGTCGATCTCTGCATCTTTGTTAAAGTATTGGGTAAAAGAAAATGATCAATGTCAAATCTTGAGATCACAACTTTCTGTCAAATTTTGACAAATGTTTTAATGTCAAATCTTGAGATCACACTTTGCTTAAATCCATATTCAATTTATTATATAGATTCAAAGTTTATTGCAAAGTTTCTCTCTTTTCAAAATGAACAATCTATATCTGTTGTATTTTCTTATCTTCTATCTCCTTTATATTTATTCCTAGATCGACAAGAAAATGATGCAGGTTGCTGGGATGATGGATAGAGTTAGACAAGAAGTAGAGATACATATAAAATTGAAACATCCAGCTATCTTAGAGGCGTACACATGTTTTGAAAGTGCAAGTTACGTGTATCTAGTTTTAGAATTATGTCATAATGGAGAACTTCAACGTTATTTCAAAGCACAAGGCACTAAAACTCTATCTGAAGAACATGGTATATTTATATACATGAGAAATAATACGTTATAAATTATATATTATGTTACATCCGTAGCAAAATTTTTTTTTGTTTTAGCTGCCTACATAATCAAACAAGTAGTACAGGGTTTGCTTTATCTCCATTCTCATCAAATACTTCACAGAGATTTGTCATTGTCCAATTTACTTTTGACTAAAGATAAGCAAGTGGTATGTATAAGGGAAAAAACAGCATTTATTAAAAAAAAGATTTTTTTTTTTTTTAATTTAGTTTTCGTATTCATAGAAAATAGCGGATTTTGGATTGGCCACACAGATGAGTAAACCAGATGAAAAGCATTTGACTATGTGTGGCACACCGAACTATATCTCGCCCGAAGTAATTTTTCAAAGTCGCTGTATAGAATGCAATATTACGCAGGAATGTGACATTTGAAAAATTTTTAGGTTGCTACAAGATCTTCACATGGGCCGGAAGCAGATGTATGGAGCTTGGGATGTATGTTGTATACTTTGTTGGTAGGCAAGCCACCGTTCGAGACAGACGCAATTAAGAGTACTCTGACCCGAGTAGTTATGGCTGATTATGTAATGCCACTTCATCTGTCAGAAAACGCAAGGGATTTGATAAATAAATTATTGAAGAAGAATCCGAAAGACAGGATATGCTTGCGGGATATTCATAAGCATGCCTTTATAATGAGTACAGAAAAGAGTAAGCTACATAATGTAAGTGAGGACACAGGTACTTAAGATATAGCAGCATTAAATGCAATGTGAATATATTAATCATTAGATTTGTTCTTTTTAGCTGAATTTCTGCATGGTTTATCTTTTTCTTTTTATCTTTTAAAGAGAGAAAAAAAATGAACTGTGCAAAAGTTTAGTTAAAAATAACAGATCTATATTGATAATAAAGAAAATGCCATTAAATTAACTACTCCATAAATAATTGCAATACGTTCATGCTTTTCATATTTGTTTATTCAGGAAAGAAACAATACGAATAAAAATCCATTTACTAATATGGTGGATTCCGGTCTTGGTAGAACTCTTTCGTCGTACGGTCGACCAAAAATGCGATCCCGGTCGGAGGAAAGAATGTCTACATTACCAATGATGCCTATGGTTAGTGTACGAAGCGAGCCGTTATCCGAGCCTATTGCGAAAATGCAATCAAATCCTAACTATGGAATAAGATACGCTAATTATCGCCCGAAAGATGATTCTTCGATTCAGATACTACGTAGTAGAGGATTTTCGCAAAACGTACAGTATGACAATTACAATGCTTATAATGAATCCGAGAAGGTAGTGGAGAGGCACAAGCCAAGAAAAGAAAACAATGTGGAAAACCGTAATGCGGAAGGAACTGAAAAGAGCACAAAGTTACAAGTGTCACCCTTAAATTCCAATAGACTAGAGCCTAAAAGACACAAAACGAAAAATGCGATACTCACCATTCTGGATAATGGAGAAGTGTGCATCGAATTTATCAAGCGCAGAAATGGCACGGTATGTAAAAAATATAAAAACTTGCTAGTAATAGTAATAGTAATAGTAATGTAAAGCATGTAAGTGGAAATATTGTGTTATTTTATGAAAAAAAGTAGCATGATGTGTGTATGTGTGTGTATGTGTGTGTGATAATTACAAGAAAATTACATAAAAATATCTAACATTATTTATACCGTAGGAAAGGATAAACGAAGTATGTAGAATATCAGGTGACGGTCTGCGAATCGTTCTTTACAAATTAAATCCGACTGTGGAGATTGGCTCGCAACCACCACCATTACCTAATCGGGGCGCCGATAGTATTTATTCGTATGAAAATTTACCAGCGTGTCATCATCGAAAATATATGTATGCCTTTCGTTTCGTGAAACTGGTTCAGGCAAAAACCCCGAAATTAACACTGTACACTCAACGCTCGAAGTGCCTGTTCATGGAAAATGGTCCACAACCCGACTGTGAAGTGCACTTTTATAACGGCATAAAGGTATTCAGCTATCGATTTAATCGTTCTGTTATGTATATATGATAAAATAAAAACTTTGTTATTTAATATTTGTATTTTATATTTAGTTTTTATATTTTTATATTTCAGGTTGTTCGGGTAGACGGTGTGGTGAAGATCACCAATGGTGCCACGTTTGTTGAGGGTGCGTTCCCGTCGCATCTCGAGACCTATTACGAGCATTACTCGGAATGTTATCAGGATTGTTTGCTGTTGGAATCTACTCTAGCATCTCTGGAGGCAGCCACTGGACATTCTTACTTCCCTATCATAAGCGGACGACGGCCCAATACAGCCTTGAGTGATTCTCCCTACCTTCAGGGAAAAGAAAACATCTCACATACACAATCTCCTGTTGTAAGTAGCAGAGAGAATGCCTAATTATTTTACGTTGCTAAATTAATGTTGAATATCTTTCAGATGCCGTCGTTCGACGCTAGTTGTTCCGTCATGTCAACAGTTTCTAAGTCACGCAATATGAACTCGATGCGTAACTCTAATCATAATATGAAGATAGCTGTGCCAGGAATTGGCCTTGCTACCAAATTGTCATCCGGAAATATTAGAATCGATTATCAGGACGGATCCGCCTTAACTGTAAATTACTACCTAAATATAATTTCTTAATTTTAATTATTAATTTAACTTTCCGCACAGATTATTGATGATAGTTTATTAGACAATCGTTCGACTAATGATTGAGTCATTTATATTTTATCGATTGTGGTTTGTTGCAGGTAAGTCCACAAAGTCACAACAGTGACATAATATATGAATCTAGTGACGGCATAGTTACACGATATAACGGGCATCATCAGCAAAACTTGGAGATACTGGTCCAAAATAAGCTTCTACAATTGCCAATGATTGTCAAGTATTTCATAGAGCCGATGCATAAAGGCATTCGGTAGCTCTGCTTGAAAATATAAAGTATTGTATATAGTACGAGAATAATCTTTGCCTATAAATTGTAAGCTTGTTTTAAATTTATAAATTAGCATAGATTTATAGAGAGTTTATACAAAAATAAAGCTTTGGAACTATGATCAGGCTTGAGATTGGAGTGGAATTTAACGAATCAAATTAAAATTCACTTGAAATTAGTTTTCTTTCTTCTGATTAATTAAATTTCAATCCAATTTTAATCTGAGATTAATCTCTAATCTCTAATCTGATCGCGACTTTACGAATATTTTCTAAGTATACAATAATATGAAATAAAAAGATATATATTATATTCTTTGATACACGCTTGATTCGAATTACTATTGCAATTGTATAAAATAAGAAAAAAAAAAGGAAAGAGAAAACTCATTAAATAATGAAATAAGAAAAATATTTAACGATAAATATATTAACAATAATGTTTTTTTAATATCGATATTTATTTTTATAGATCGAAGACAAGAGTGGAATAAAATTGAGAATTTTTTCACTATTTACATTATGTAAAAGAGCATTCTATGAAATCCGGTATCTCCAAAGTAACAAATGTACAGGTATATGTATTGTTTTATCAATAGATGATATATTTAATCATAAATTATTATTATGATCGCTGTTTTTTTTGCCGAACAGCAATGAAAAAAGAATATGTAATAAAAAATATAAATAAATATAAATACAATAATAATTTCCATTTTTCATATAAAAATATTATAGCAGGCTTCTCTTTTTCCCACATTATCTTTCTGTGAGCCTTTTATCTTCGAAATTCTAAATTGTATCGGATTATTAAAGTATAATCCTCGATCGCTTCGGTGTATTTATCGCGACTCCTCGATCGAATCGGGGTCACAGCCGGTCATCGTCACTCCCACCAAGCCTCGCTCCATTGAAGGGAACGACGGTTTTGACGAACGTTTACTACGGCGGCGCGCCCTACGATTCGACGTTGCGGGAGCAACGATCCCATTCACCATACGGAACGTAACGGACGCGCTCCGTGACGCCATGTTTATGCCGTCTTTGGCTGGAGATACCCCGTGGAAGTCGTTCCCCGTAATTCCCAACATCCGATGCGTGCGCACGTGATAAGATTGATAATATCGTCGAGAGAGATCATCCGTGGAGCCGTTCGCAGATGGTTCGCGTAGTCCGTCAATCGCCGCGCCGTCTTCCGGAGTGATTCTGACAGATGGTAAACAAGTGAATAACGCAGTAATATTTTATCATTTGTAAAGTTCTGTGAATGAAGAGCAAGATCCTGTAAGAGTAAGAGAAAGTATAAGCATAAGATCTCATACACAGACGACTACATAGTTAATAGAATTTGAGAATTCATCGAATTCGCCAGTTTTATTCGCCTTCTTTCTCTTTTGCACCCAGCGATTGCAATCGTGAGTGGTATGTCCTTCGTTACTGCGATTGTGGGATGTGTGATTGCTGTGGTAATTAACGAGAAACGGCTACTGTAATCGCGGATTCCGCGACGCGTACGGGCGCTGCCCATCCTGTCTCTTCTTTGCTAACCTCAAGCGGACGACGCGAACTACGAAAATGGGTAAGTCCACGCTAATCTCGATGAAAATCTGCCTGTCGCTCTTCTGTTGTAAATTATAACGCGATTGTGTGATGTTCACAGTCTGATTGAATCCCACTGTGGGAGTCATAACAACGACAGCCATACGGTTGTAAACATTGGAGCTATTTCTGGTTTAATTATATTTGATAATAAACTAATTAATGAACGTTAAGCTAATTTTGATGCGATGTAAATTATAATTGATCTAGAGCATGAATTAATTCTAAGAAAGCTTGTTAAGTTTTATTAAGAGACAGATGATGTTCGCACGCAAGCAAAAGAGTGATGATTGTCGACAATAATAGACACCACGAGTGATTGCTATAATCGCTAATTATTTCCGTCCAAGACAACTTAGCATGCTAATGACACATTTATATTACCGAGTTTGTGACTGAAACTAGCGTCATTAACGAATATACTCGGACACATGTCGCGCGTTATCCGACTGAACTGTAGATAAATGATTAGTCATCGTCGATAGTATGATTTAGTCATTGGCTGAACGCCCAGCTTTCACCACGCATTCATTTAGTGTTATTGTTAAGTCGTTCGTTATTACTATTATAATTGTATTAAAATGACAAGATTACGTGAATTGCGTCAAGCTAGAGAGAGTCTGCCACTGCGTGGTGATTTTAGGAGTAATGTTAGTCTGGATAGATTTTCTGAACGTAGTTTACATGGTCTAAATTCAAACGAACAAAGTTGTAGTAAGTGTTTAAAAAGTGCCATTGAAATATGATAATAAATGGTGAAAAATATGATAATAAACGTAGATCATTATCCAATATATATTGTTACAAGTATTAATACTGAAAAAATTTATACTATGTATAACATGAATTATAGATTTTTAGTATTGTCTGTTATACATTGGATGCTTTCCATTTGATAACACAAGGCGACACAAATCGTCGTTCTATCTTTGTCACTCTCTGAATATCAAAAAGGATAGAACAACGCTTGTGTCGACTTGTGTCATCAAATGGAAAACATCCATGACCACAGACTTGTAAATGTAAATGCAATAAAAATTGAATCTCACTTTTTGTTATAATGGATTTTATTAATTGGAATTTATCTCAATGATTTATGGTTTATATATTTATGTAAAGTTTATTTGTGACATTATGTTACATTATGTTAAATTAAATTAAATTAAATATTATGTTATATTATTGTTATAGTATCTAGATTTTAATTGTAATGAAATTTAATTGTGAATGATTTAATTAAATTTATAAATGGATGTACGACGCTTCCCATAACAAAATGACAAATGTAAAGGAGTTTCCTTGTTTAGGGAATATGTGCAACGAATGCATGGCCAGAGTGCCATATGCGACTCTTATAGCGACCATTATGTGTTGTCTGGGAGTTGGAATCTTCTGCGGAACCATGTACAGAGGTGCAACGTTGTGTGCTCTTATGATGGATCAGGTAAAAAGCATGAGAGCTTAATACATTTTTTTCAAAATAATTTAGATTCTATAAATTTCAAGTTATCAAATTATTCAGGTGTTTCACCTGCATCTTGGATGGTTGGAAGCGGTGCAGTTAGTGTTTGCGTCAGTCGGAGCGTGCATGGCAGCTTTAGGATTCATGATTTTGTGCGTCGGTTGTCTTGCAACTGGTGCTACAAGGCACAAAGTCTATCGTGCATGGAGATCCCGAGTGGGTGGACGTATATCATGTGCTGTTGTAAGTATTTAAAGTGTAAAATCTTTATTATTTTCATATTAGTGAACAAAATTCTGATGGCTACAAGTTATATCTTTAATTTTTCAGTTTATGACTATCATCTACATTCTGCAAATAGCTTGGCTTCTGATATTCGCATTCCTGATTATTACAACGCTGATATTCACCATATTCTGGAATTTGTGCAGCAATCCACGTGTTCAATCTCTTGACGATTGCATTGATTTTACTCAATTCAGTAAGTTTTCACTTGTGCCTCACATTGATACATGAGTAGATTGAAATTAGAATATTGTATTTAAATCCGTATTTCTTTCTTATATTTTTATAAAATGGTTACTTTATTTCAGTTTATTATAATTACTTTATTTATAATTAATTATATATGGTATTTGAATATATATAGTATATTAAATGTTAAATATTTATTATCGTACAAAACTTAAAATTGATAAAGAGCAATCAAATTATTACTGTAATTAATTTATGCTATTTCAGGTTTTATGTTTCCAAATAATACGCGGGTGCAGGACATGCAAGTGTGTGGACCCCAGGAAGTCAAGCTGTTCTGTAAGGATTTTGTGGAGAAGGCTGAGGTGATGTTCATCTTGGCGACCGCGGCGAGCATGCTTGTGATTCTAAGCTTGATACACTATTTGATGTGCTTATCTGCTAATTATGCACACATACGAGATCATGAAAAGTTCCAGGAGCTGCAGGAACTGCAGTATCTACAGGATGCGACCGATCCAGACTCTCCTCAGTCGGGAATGGGTACTCTCGGCTCTCATCGCGGTAAAGATAGGTTCTAGGACACGGCCCGCGAGATCTTCACCATGAACCCCTTGTAAGGAGCCTAACGTTTACTTGAATATCTACGTAGGCCATTCTTATGATTGGAAATCTCTTCCGGATACTATTTCATCTTCTCTATGTACCTAAATTCGGTATTCTGCTCATAACGGTGTGTCCATCACCAACAGTAGTCTACTGATTGGAGGATCTTGCGGGAACTAACTCTATGCCGTCCATTATATCTACGACTGTCGTATGTAAGCATCTACTCGTTTTTTTTAATGTAAAAAAGATGTTATTTTATTGAAGCATGTATCGATTTGTCATAAGATTTTCATTTCTAACGTGAATCGCTCGATTAAAATCGAGATCATTTGCAGAGTTTGGCTCACGACGAATGTCATTCCATAAACTTGTATTAGTAGGAAAAGTATTTGAAATCTATTCTGTGCATGTTTGAAATGTACAAAATTCCAGTGCACAGATTTTTTTACTTGGACAAATTTGTTTTATTTCACTTCGATGTACACACACGCACTCTATATTGTGCGTAATAGTATTATGCGAGTATTCACGACTTTAGATCATTTATTGGTCTAATCTTTCGGTATTAGGGCTAATTATCGAACTACATGTATCACTATATCTTCATACTAAGATTTTTTTACGCAAGAGATTTCTTTTATATTTATATATATGTGTGTGTGTGTGTTTGTGTGTATGTATATGTATATATATATATGTATGTATATATATATGTATGTATATATATATACACACACACACGCACACACACACACTCGCGTTTACATGCTAGGCTATTAAGCATATATTTTCGTTACATTATGAATATTTAAGATGGTTCTTTAGTAAATTGAGTTATCATAGAAATATCTAATTTCTTTATATGAAGTACCGAAATTAACATGTGCAAAATTCTACGGTACGTTAACGATGAAATAAGAGAAAAAAAATGTTGAAAATGTAACTTTCACGTATAATTTATAGTGAATTCGATTGGACGCATGCAGTATACATTAAAGTCATCGTACACAAAATAACATAAAGATATATTTATACATAAACATGGAAATCGATTAAATCTTGAAATACTCATTTTACATTTTATTGTACTATTAGATAAAACATGTATTTTATAATTCGAAATATTTGCATTTCAAATCTTTTGTCAAATTAAATCAGTGTCGACTTTAATATGCACCAGTGTATAATAGTGCTTCTAATCGAATTCGCCAGACAGATAAGACTCGCAGACTTTGGGGTGCAGGGTGGCTCGCCGCTCAATGCGATTGACTCGCAATCTGATTGAGTAAGAGTGAAGCCTTTACTCCCCTAAGAGGTTATCACAAGATCTAAGATCTAAATTCATCGCACATCACTGTGACCCTTTTCTTGGATCGGAAAATCAAGCAGGGGAATAAGAAGAAGACTGTTAATGCGATTGATTCGCAATCTGTAAATCCAGATTCGATTCCACTTGCGGCCCACATACGCGATCTTTCGCGGTTTGCCGTTCGGATTCGATGTTAAACTGTAGGTTCTCGAGTGTTTATAAACTCTGAGAGTTAGAATTTCATTACTACTGAATCCAAAAACATAAACGAGCCTCTGCCCAAAGAGACTGTAAAGCTTACTGATACGCATGGTACTGTGACCCCCTACATGGGATCGGAAATCCATATAGGGGAATTGGCAAGAACAAGACCAAGACGCTTGTTTGACTAACTGCACACAAATCTTACCATAGACTTTTCTCAAAAATGAGATTATAATAATTTAAAAAATTACGATTTTAATAGTTACCAAAAAGTAATAAGTCAACGGTCATTCTCTGGAAAAATATTTACGTATATAAACTTGTATATACATTTAACTTCGAAAAATAAACATAATCTTACCTTATTTTCGTTCGATGAAAAAGCAGTGCTTGATTTACTTCGTATGCTCCATACTATTTCATTAAGATATACACGTAGTTTTAATATTTTTTTCAAATTATGCAGATATTTGTAATTTTGGGTGGATTCTGGTGAGGCATCCCAAATTTTTAGCACTTTACTAAAGAACCACCTTAAAGCACGTTGGGAAAATCAGGATAATAAAAGAGACAATTATACATATATATTAGCTAGTATATAAAAAAAGATCAAACAACGACCATATATATCGTAATTGTTAAAATGTTATTATTTATCACATTTTCGCTGAATGCTTCCCAGTATACTTGTTACGAAATATTCATGTCGTTTGTGCAATTATACAGAACAAAGCTCATATTTCACATTAAGCAGCTTTCTATGGAAAATGTTACAGAATGTATATTTCCACTAAATGTTGCAGAAAACGTAACAACATCCGTGCATATGAAAGAATATATCTATATATCTATAGAGTCTCTATTACTTACTTGCGTATATGTATAATATCGATTTGTGAAAAGAGCAATATATTTTTCCGAATAGTAAAAGAATTCCACTATAAACTTTTAGAAAAAATGAAAGTTACAAATGAATGAAAGTTACAAATTCTTCTATGCACGTTACTTGTGCCAAAATAAAAAGAAATGAATTTTTGCTCTGAACAAAGATCTAAGAATTATAAAACATGTTGAGGCACAAATAAAAAAATATACGTACAATCGCGAGATCGACTCGCCACATATATATTATTACTTGCTCAAATAATTTGACAATGATCGCTAATCCGTAATGCGACTAATTTTCCGGGCGAAAAATCTTGCGCAATCCGTAACTTAAATTAGAATACGATCTTTTATATATATTATAATAATTCTAGATTTCTTTATTATACACATCTGATGAGTAAAGTTATACACATATCAAATGACAATTTCAATTTATATGCAGCTGCAAAAGGTTGTATATACAATAGAGAAGAATAAAATGGCACGCAATATGTATATTTTCTATTAATGAAAGAGATTTGATTTGAGCTGTAAAAGTTATGTGCCGTATTCTTGTTCGAAAGTAACTACGATGTATATTCTATTAATGAATAAAAAAATATTTTCTTCTTATAAAGTATGTCTCTGCATATATTTCAAAGTTTTCATATTAATTAGTTAGTTTTCATAGATTTGGTATGTAGTTTTTATGTAATTTAATACAGTAGACAAATTATGTACACAATAATCGTTAATTACATATTTTGTACAATTCTTCGTTCGTCGCGTAATGTTCAGTCCTCGTCGAACTGGAGGTCCAGCTCCAGATCAAGGGCACTAACTTCTTGGAGAGTATTGATGAATGTGTACCGCGAAAAGATCATGTACAACTTTCGAAACCAGACGTACTGAGACTTGTGTGCAGCCATAGCACTCTGCAAGGGAAAAAAACTTAAGAAAGAAATTTGTGTTAAAGGGTGATTAATTATAATTAAACAGTTCTGATTTACTTTGATTGTTCGCTTTTGTTCGTATGTTACTAGATACCAATATGAGGCTGAGAGTAGACTGACGGGCAAATCTAAGAGTTGAATGTACTTCCTAATTATATTAACGGACTCTAACACATACAGCTTACAATCTGCAACATGATCAGATTTATATTATACAAGCCTGCTATATTTGTATGTCAATTGCATGAACGATACTGACAAGGAGGTACTTTTTTCTCTATGCATAATGCGGCGATCGCAAAATACAAGGAGATATGATTTTTATGCCGGCTCACTCCGTATTTATCAAATGTCACGACGGCATTGATTTTATACATTTCTATGTATTGCAAGATGCTCTCTGCAACTGTGTCTGTTGGCCACTGTACGCCTTGATCATCTGGTAGCTCGCCACTCCTGCACATTCATTTATTCAACTATTATACAGTAAATAATTATTTTATTATATCATCATTGCACATTTAACACTTGAATGAAATGGTCCAGTTTTTACACTTTGCAAAAATTAGACAAGTACACTTAGTGTTAAATGTACGTTAGAATTAAGTGATTCTCTCTACGATAATCTTCAAAACAAAAATATAAGCCGGTGTTACTTAAATGAAATTTATTAAAGCAAAGCTAATTTAAGAACTCAACTCAATGCGTGTGTGTGTGTGTGTGTGTGTGTTTGTGTTTGAAATTTTTTTTGAAGAATAACTTCATACCAAGTTTGGTTCTTGGACAAAATTATTAAAAAATATTTTTATTGTAATGACAGAATAATTATAACAAATGTTTTATTTATGGTATTTGGGATTTGTTATACTCTGTCTTAGTAACACCAAGTTAAATTGGAATACATGTATAGCCCAATTTCACCCATGTAAAATTAATTTTAATTTGGATTTAATTTACTCTTTATCTTTCTTAGAATTAGAAAAAGATATGAAGTGGAACTGAGCCTGAGTTTTTGCAAATAACGTTTCCCAAGACACACTTACATAATAATCGTCACATTGGCTTCTGGAATTCCCAACACCTTAGTACACTCCCACAGCTCGTCTATCCTCCTTCTGTCTCCACCTGCAAGCATACTAGTAAACATCAATAGACACAGTGTTTGCGTGATGTCTAGCCTGGTTTATTCCTGTCAGTTAATCCGGATCATTGCTCAACGATCCTGGACAACAGAGGTCTGCTAGTGACATGTACCCATGGATAAACACAGCAGGTAGATCTCGCTGGCTTTGGAACGGGTTAGCCAGTAGACCAGTGGTCCAAAGAACATCACCTCGTCATCTGGATGAGCGGTGACCAGAAGAAGCCTGCCAGGTGGACCTGGTAGTTGCCAGGCAGTATGACCCACCCGTTTCAGGATTGCATAAAGGAAGACACAGACACAAAGATATGCCAGCAAAGCGATCAACAGCTGCCATGAAATCTCGCGGATGTAATAACACCACCAGCAGACTGCCTCGTTGAGCTGTAGGCTGAAATACAGCCGTACGTACTCCAGGTCGGCTATCATCTCAGGGATGATGATATCCACGTGCACAACACGCGTAACGTTCGCGAGCTATCGCGATGCCATAATGCGAATTATCGCTCACAAGAAGAGAACGTAATGAACATAATGAATGTTCTCGTCACGTCAATCGTCACTGCGGTACGGAGTAGTCAGAGTATAGTTGAATTTGAGGTTAGGTCGCGCCAGTCAAGTGGTCTGAGCAGTCGCCGTTTTTGGCATTTTACGGACGACACGAGGAGTAAGGAGGAATTAGGAGGAATTTAGAGAGATATTTAAGAGGAGAGATAGAGAAATAGAATCAAAATGGAATGATAGATACGAGATATAACAACATGTTAACTCAGGATAACTGAGATAATTATTTTTATATATAATATATATAATTAATTGTCAATCTCGTTAATTATAAACGCAAATTAATGGTTCTAAATTTATATTGTATAACTTAGCATCGGGGACGGCAGGGGGAGATCAGTGATTATTTTTTTAATTATTAGGTGTATAACTTTGCTTCCGCCGTTTTCCTATAGATGGCTTTAGCGGTAAGTGGTGATCGAAATAAATAGATCATAGACATCACAATAGACATACAATAAGGTATACAATAGATAATTGCAATTGACATTCATGCATGTTATAATTAGGATTAAATTAACTAATATTAATTGACTTGCTTAATGATTCTCTCTCTCAGACGTTGCGCAAAGATTAGAGTAAATTTAATAGAAAATTAATATAAAGTAAAAAAGTTTCAAAAAATCAATAGCAAAAAATCGATAGCAATATATCGAACTTCGAGTGCGCGCGCGCGAGCTTCGATTTCTCGAAATCTCCCAAAGCTACATTCAGCTGTCAGGACTCAGCAGTCAGCTTTATTTGTAATCTGTTTTGTAACTGTATTTCTAATTTTTACTACAATTTTTCCTTCGACATAAAATAATTATTTTTAAGAGTTTTTAAATACTCAAATAAGAATAGGAATACAGAAAAGATTTTATAGACATTATCTATGCTGAATATTCTTTTAGTAGTGAACGCCACGAAGTGTCTGCCACAGGTTATGTCATTGCGCGAAAGGTAGTCGGAAAATCGAAAATTCCAAGATGAAGAATGATCAAGAAGAGATAGACTTGTATCGAGACACATATGTAAGATATTTAGGTAATGGCAAGAGATCGTCGAATGCTGTTATTGAAGTTTTCTGTCATCTTTCCTTTATTTTACATTTCGCAATTTTACCAAACAATGCTAAATTATTGTTTTGAAAGAAATTGGTAAAGTTAAATAGTATATCGGCATTTAAAAAAATTTATATATATATATATATATATACTAACAAGATTTTTTCTAGGTTATGCAAATGAAGTTGGAGAAGCATTTAGAAGCCTCGTGCCTAAGTCCATTGTATGGTCCAGTTATGCATTATCGAGTGGATATGTTCTCGCAGATACGATACATAAGGGTGCAAAAGTTTACCAAGTACTGCAAAAAAGTTTTAATTTAATGGCACGGAAATAATTATTGGCCACTTAATGACTTTGATTGTTATAGGAGGATGCTACTCCACAAAAACTCAAAAACGTTCTATTATCTACGTCAGACACTTTGCTATGGCAGGCATTCGCGTCAGTGATAGTTCCTGGTTTCACCATAAATAGAATTTGTGCGGCAATTCAGTTCGCACAAAGAAAAAGTACAAGAATAGTTTGGAAGAAGCCTTGGATCTCTACACTTATTGGTTTGATATCTATTCCTTTCATAATACATCCTATTGATCATGCTGTGGAGGGAGCAATGGATGTTACTTATAGGAAATGGACAGGATACCATCCAAAAGGGCCTCTATGTGGTATAAAACATGAATAACAATATGTATAGTTAATTGATTAGTATAGTAAAGAGAGGTCGTACTTACAAGCAAGCTATATTAATAAATATTTATTACAGAATTTATTCCATTTTTACGCAAAATAATTAAAAGACCTTATATTAATACTGGTGAAAGAATAATAATCATATTTTTTATTATCTTTATTGTCTAAGGATAATCAAATTGGTACCTGAAAGTTTTTTTAAAATCACATCAAAATATAAATTAAAATTCTTTATAATATACGAGATAAGGAATACTTATAAGATATTAAATTTAAAAGAAGTTAAGCTAAACTTGATATCTATTGAAACATCTCAGAGAAACGACCTCTCTTAGTTTAGAAACAGTACAGTATTACTGCCAAATATATTCTGAGATAGTACAACACAGTGCACTTAGAATATCTTACTGCTAATTGCAATAATATTAAATATTTTTGTTATAATGTACATATTATACAGCTGTATTATATAGTTATTTTATTATATTATACAGCTGTATTATTTATATATGTGCATTAAGATTTTTAGCTGGCTTTCATGCCACAATTGTTAAGCTATTAAATAAAGTTACTGATTTAAGATTCTCTACATTATCTCGTAATCATCGTATACCTAAACCTGTATGATTACTTTTGCTTTAATGCACCATTATTATTTTTTACAATATATTGATTATTTTTTTTATTTTTCTTTCGTTATTGTATCAAATGGAAAATTCAAAATAATAATTCACAAAAAATAATTTGCAAAGGAAACAACGTGTCGACACGAAAGAAGTTTATCGTCATGATATAAGAGAATATTTAGTCAAGGTTCCGCGAAGTGAAGAAATGATTTCGCAAGTTATGCATGGCGAAAGGTTCTACGCGGCTTCCACGGCGGTTAATAATGGCGCGATGTAGGGTAACACCCGTTTCATGAAAATGTATCATGCAAAAAATAATACCACATCATAGCGGCGTCATAATTATACGCAAGCAGCGCCGATTACGAGATTATTATCTGCTCGTACCACACAATTTCTCTCGCTATCGCGGTTAAATCTGAGGTCCGCGCTCACGATAAATGCGATTGTAATCGATATACATTTTTTAACAGCGATTAGAGCGAGTTCCGTATTAAGACATCAATGGCACCGACTAAGTGTTTTCCCTAGAGTAATTTACGATTGTAGATAACGCCATGAATTTTCCGCAAAGAATAAATGACGCAAAATACATTGACACGTATCCATTCCGCGAAATTGAATTTCTAACACGCAGAATCGACAGAGAATTGGAACTAAGATCCTTTAGATTCTTTTATATCTTTCTTTATATCTCGTGTCAGCGACACGACATTTTAGCAATGTTTTAAGATCATTGTTTAATTTCTTTTGTAGGACAGTTTCAAATGTACACCTTTCAAATGTATAATTCTTCGGAGTTTTTTTAGATCCTTGTTTTTCCAAAAAACCCAATGACGATCTTTTGAAGAAAGAATATATCGAATATAATTCATCATTATGGAAATTAAGACTAGTGAATCTTTCGTAAAGTTATGTGTTTTGATGATGCGTCATTCTTGAAACATGTCATTTTTGTTATATTATTTTATAATATTGTTTAAGTAATTGTTTAAGTAATTCTGTTTAAGTAACGTAATTAACGTACTTGGTTTTTGTTTTACAAATAGTTGATATAATAAATAACGAAAAAATTACAATAAAATTGACGAAATATTCAATATGCAAAATATATTTGAATCGAACCAATAAAGAAACAATTAAATATTGAACAATATTAAGTGAAAATGGACCGAGAGATTTAAACCAAATGAGTGAAGAAAGCCATTTTCAATCAAAGCGGATTTTTTAGTGCTTAATAGTATTGTGTGAATTTTTACAAATTGTCAGTTTTAACAAATTACGCGCCGATCATTTGTCGGTCTTAAGTCTAGTTATCACTCGCACTCTTTTTTCTACTCTTGATATACACACTTGGGTCCCTGAAATCCCATCCATATTTGTTACGGTAACTTCTGTAAAAATAGACATATTTTAATTATTTTTTTTCAATCAATAGAGAATTGATTAAGAAATAAGTCCATAATGTGTAAAAGTCAATAAATTTACGGGGCTTCGAGATATATAGGTCTATAGGTTCAAAGAAAAAAAGAAAAGTTCAGAAACATGAAAAAATCTCGATTTAGCAAATTGCATTGGGGTTTCTGAGACTTCAGTATGTATAGCTAGGGTTAAAACAGTTTTAGGCTGAACAGTTTTAGGATATTACATTTGTTATACGACAAATGTAATATCAGCTTAAAACTGTTTTAATTCTCAACTGAAAAAAAGCTGGAGTACATAATATAAATTAAATTGACAAGCAATTTAATATTATTGATGCTAATAACTTATCAATTTATTTTATGTATACAACTTATTTATTTATTTATTTATTTATTTATTAGCATCAATGATATTAAATTGCTTGTCAATTTAATGTGTAATATTGCGTACTTCAGCTTCAGTTTAAAACTGTGTTTTAAACCGATAAATAATCAGTTTGTTTGAACTGAAAATTATAAAAATTTATATAATATATTATTAGGGACTAAGACTCGCTTTGACCGAATATGGATCTTTTCACAGCTCATTTAATTAAATATTATCTTAAATATCGAAACAATTAAATATTGATAAAATAATAATATACCTTCTCTATTCTTTTCATTTCTCATTGCGAATGAATAATTTACGATAATGTCAGCTTCGGTGAATATCCTCGATGCATCGATATAACGAATCGATGATGAAATTTCGTTGTAACAACGAGGGATAAAATCACCAATCGTAACAAATATAATAGAGAATGATCGTATTTCGCGTTTGCTGGTATCCGTCACGATTACAGTTCGAAGAACAATACATATCAATGATACACGCCACTGTCCGCTCACTCGAGTATCGGCATTTAAACTGATTTCGAAATATCAGATCTTTTCTATTAGATATGTGTGATATCGCTGCGCGTGTCGCATTATTACGATTTCTACGAATTCAAGATTGACGTGTACGCAACGTACGGCTGGGTGTTTGTTTTCGCCCGCGCGAAAATTGTTAAGGGCCATCTACATAAGTCGCAAACGCAGAACGCAGTTTGTAGACGTATTTGCGGCAACCAATCAAAAGCTGTTATTAGTATTATTGGCACTTCTGATTGGCTATCGCAAATGCGTATGTAGGCGGCCCTTTACAGTGTATAGCGTCGTGCTTAACTATCTACGCAAGGTCACCGCGCTACCATTCGAACGCGAACTGACGCGAACCTTTGAGCAGGTCGGCAACGGCGCGTGTCGCATTACTTTTCTGATTACAAACTGCGGACGCTATAAACGTGAAACGTGATCGTTTTCCATTACATCCGATACATGATTAGAGATCGTCGGTTAGATGATCCACCGCTGTCGACTCGTCGTATCGGAATTCTTTTCGAAGCAGGTATTACCGCGCAATTTTATCCACTTGGAACGAGAATCGAAAGGATGAAGGGAATGGGGAACTCTCGGATTGAATGGAGAGTCGTGCATTACCGTCTCATCGCAACATTTAATTGCTTTTTTAACGCTTCGACTCGGATATAGCTCGAAGCTCGAACGTTCCGCTCGAAAGTTGTTTTGGTCGTAATTTCTTTTTTATTATTTCCGAAAGCGTGGAATAATACACGAATTGGAATGAAGAGTAACGAGAAGCTATATGGCGTATCGAGATTTATCAATAATACTCTTATCTCACTGGTTTTGCGCGTTAAAGATACATGATATTGAATATCGATCGTATATTTTTCGAATTAACTGGCTTGTCTCAATTAGATATATCAAATTGATCGCGTCGTATGATAGTAGAGTGAATTGCTGACGTCGCTCTTGAATTTTTCAATCAGATAAATGCCGTCAGTGTAGAAGGGATCAACTCCAAGATTGGATGTCGTGACGTTGCATCCGAAAATACAATACGATTAGCTCCGCATGTGGATACTCGTTGACTACAAAATCTAATTTATTCTTTTTATTCTTTGGAATTTTACTTTAAAGTGAAAAAGCGAATTCTGTCACTCTTAAAAAAGAATTTTCAATCTTTAAGAGTGAAATTTCACTCTTTAGAGTGAGATAAGAATTTAAAGAGAGAATTTTACATTCGTTGTACGACAAATTTTTCAAGCGTGTTAACTGGCTGCGATCGCAAGTCGTATATTTATTGCATGATAATCGTCATGAAACGCAAGCTTGTAACATTTATTTTTCAAAGAAACGCAGCGACGTTTAGCAACGAAGATATCGTTGGTTGCAGTAGATGGAGGCTGTTTTCTTTTTAGAAAACATAGTTGACGTAAACGTCTATCCTTCTTGACACAGTCAATGAGTAAAAATAAAACAAAAATAGAACGACTATGTCAACTATGTCTCCTAAAAAAAAAGCAGTCGGTGTAAAGTTGGCCGTGCGAGTTTCGAATTCTCTACTACGATTCTTTAAATTCGCATCAATTTAGAGGATATGTTGCGAGCGTTTCGAATCACTGTCTGTGTTTTTTTTTGTATATACTTTTCCGTTATGATGTAATATATATCGTTTTCTATTAACGCTCCGCGAGTATCGGTCATCGTTTTAATCAACATTTTCACGTGTTCAGTGTCAGTGTCATTCTACAATCCCCTGGAACGACAACGTGAGAGGAGGAGAAATATCTCGAAAAGGCATCAGACGACAACAAAGCAGTGGCAAATGGTGAGTGATTCGTAACTTCATTTATTATTCATTACTGAGATTAATCGCTCCATTTATTTTTGCGATATGTCGAAGAAAAGTCTTTGAGTAAAAACGACACGAGCACGGGTTTCACATACGATTGATTATAGGGAAATTTGCATTAGAGATCGTTTCTTCATGGTTTAAACTATGCGAGTTTATTAGCGCATTTCAGAGATAAGAAATTTAAAAATTATATGATTATATGTTAAATGCTTTTATTAGAAAACGTTTTCTAATAAAGAAAGATCTGTAAGATTTATTTTTTTATTTAAATTTTATTTAATTCTCTTTATTTAAATTTAAAGAATTTTATTTATTACTTTAATAAGATTTATTGTTAATGTTTGATAATTGAAGAGACAATAGAAATAAGTATGTGATATATTATACATATATAATGCTCGTTATAGAATTTATTTGAATGCTTATTTTTTATTTTAATAAAGAAATTAATATCGATGTTTTTTCTCATAAAAAAAGTAAGATGTTAGAATTAACTTGCGATCACGCGAATTAAAAATCCGCTAACTGCCATAAATAAATTTTTCTTGCATGTAATACTCTTGAAACATTTATTATTCTTGTTATATCAGCCGAATACTTAAGTTATATTATTAAATTTGTTTCAAATTTATTATAAAAAATTAGATTCTTTAAAAGGTCGTTAATTTATTTTAAGACTTTTGAAATATTTATCTTGTTACATTATTGGGATGAACTCAAGTTAAACTATTAAATTTATTTTAAATTAACTTCACAAGAAGTTACTCTTTAAGAACAAATAAATTTATTTTAAAATTTAATTTTATATAATTTTAAAATTATTAATTTTAACTCTTAGTATACATGTATTAATTTTAACTCTTAGTATCCATGATTGAATCATTCGTTATTATGCACATTTTTTTTGTTCGAAATATTAAGAATACCCGGCTAAATAATGATCTCTATCCGTTCTATTTATCTTTACTATACAACTTTACAAATATTATTTAAAGATGTTAAAATATATAATAAAAATCACTTAATTTAATTTTTGTTATAAAAGTGATGAAAATTAATTCTCGGCATGAACGACCCATCATGTGTAGTAAAGAATCGTAAAATCATCGGCTGTATTAAAAAGATTAATTCTATTTAAAATTATAGAATTATATTATAAAATTATATTCTATTTAGAATTAATTTTAAAATTATTTAAAAACAATATAATATATTATAGGACCGTATATGTATGATAATAAACTATAGAAATCAAAGTCTAGCTGAATTTTAAATGTTTATGTGATTCTTGTGTGAATTTATATACTACGTATGTAGTCCCCAGAAACGCGCGCCGAAATGATTTTTCGGTCTTGAAAACGCTATCTTTACTAAACTACCGCAATAACATCACGAGTTAAATTGGCTAGCAATTTAACAAATTCTTGATGTTTATTCGCATCTTCGAAACGATCTTAATAATGTTGAATAATATTAAACATATTAAAAACTGTAAATAATTAATTCTTATTGCGAAAAATGTTACCTCGGCCGGAGACGGTTGTTTAAAGACAGTGCTTTGCGCGCAATCGCATAATGTTTCTCTATTATTTCTTCGATGTATTTCTTCATGCACATATATATTTTTTGTTTTGTCGATATTTGTAAAGAAATTTCTCTATTCTTCGAACACATTTCCGTTTTCGAATACGGAACTATGAACTATCTTAAGACCTAATACAGCGCGATTCTTAAGCGCATACGGTCGAGCTACTTGCTGGGGTCCTAATGACACGTCGCGTGTTCGATAATTAATAATTAACTTCGCCTCTCCCCTCTCTCCTTCTTCTCTCCCTTTCATTTGCGCCCTCCTGCCTCTCGCTCGCGCGGAATTACGCGGGCGCTTGAAGAATTTCAATGGCTATCGACGATAACGCACACCATGCCGGCTCGTAATCATATAATTCTAACTATGCGATTACGGGCGCCGTACGGCCGTAAATGAGGCGGCCAGCTCCGGCCAGTAAAGTTTTAGTCGCACTAATAACGTAGCCCTTACCATAAATACCCTCCAGGCGCGCAATTGCAATGAAGTCGTTCGTTCGCGAACACGGTCAGGCCGTAAATATTGTCTCGAATGGACAGAAGCCATGATAATCCCTGCAATAAATAGTCGCTTACAGCCGCGTCTTAGAGCGGCCACGAATGGTCGAAAACGCACCTCCACCGTTTTCTTTTTCTCTCCATTGTTCTTCCCGCTTTCTTCCTATTATTATAGATTGCAATTATCATTTGTACATTGTAATATCCATTTATTTAATACGACGCATGAATTGCAGCAAAGTTTCATCCCTAATCGCGGCATGGAAAAATCGCAGAAATATTTTGTCGTAAGATCGCGATTAATGGCTGCGTTCCGAATGTTAAACAATAAATGTTAAACAAAGACAGATGATGAATCCGAGGCATCGGAGGAATTCGAGCGACGTTTCCGAACGCAGTCAATGTACAGCGATGTTGAAGTATCTACTTGCGTAATATAACGGCAGTGCTGCTGAAACGTATTTGCAAGGATAACATGATGTACGTACATTGCTGCAAAGTCGCGGTAATGTCGCATAATGTAATATTTTCTAATGTGTTTTTTTTTTATATGTTTGTTATTACGATATTACTGCAACCTGCTCTACTATATTTCTCCCGGGAATCAGGAAGTAGTTAAACGCAATGCCGCCTTCGGTGAAGTTTTTTTTAATTACGATACAATCTCCGAGTGCAACCACCCGCTGTTACCGCGAAGTTGAATCGACTGACATTAAGAAGACGGATATTAAGTTCTGAATTCCGGCAGACTCTCTTTTATCCGGGGGATGCGACACACCCATTCACGCAGATGCATTTATATATCATTGGCCATAATCGACATCGCCGCTAGCTTCCGGTTCGACAAAAACTGACAACGTGACGATGTTTTGATTCCCGCCGTTACGAATTGACACCTTTAACCGGCGGGCGATTTTTCACGGGAACCTTTGATAATCTCACATTAACTTTTCGGTAGTCCGTCGCCCTCGTAATAAGCCTAACCGGGCGCAACAATATAATTTATAGAGCTACTTCTTTTTACAGCTAATTATGGCGAATTACGGTCGTACGATAGAGGGTCCATTAAACCGCCGTTGATCCTGATTAGGAAGAAGAAATGCACGGGCAAAGCAAAGACGATGTGCGCTTTATCTCCAATTCGCGTGAAATATCCTTCGTGATGTCGCTCTGTACCGGGTGTCTCGCGACGTCTGCGTGATCTGAATTTTAATTCTGTCAGAATTTTTTAAACTTTTTTTAACGATTAAATCTCCTTGCAAGATTAGGGGAATAATAAATAAATGTATCAATAAAAAATTCGTCTTTGACAAATGATTGTATCTTACGAATTAAGATTAAATCTTTATTTCGCAGCAATGGAAATAATAAATTTTAATCTACTTAACAAATCATAGAGTTTTTGATATTTTATTCTCGAAGTAAAAAGAAACATTTTCGAAGTATTTAATTAAGAGACGAATTTATTCACTCGTACTTCAATCTGAACTGTCACAGCAGCAGTAGCAGCATTCGGCCACTCGGTTAATGGCACGTGGAGTCCTTTAATCGATAGAAAGGAGCGCGTGTCAGTTAGGTACTCGCACCCTATGATAACGCGACGTATTTCACGAACGTACCAACGCTTGATGTATAATAAAAAAAGATGAAGAAGATAAAAGAAAACGGAAGAATACGAAAATAAAGGATAAAAGAAACTGAGGAAGATGGAGATGAAAGAAAGACTATTCAGAACAAGATGGAGGAAGTACAGAAGAGAGAACGACAATTGAAAGATACGCAGCTGAAGTAGAAAGAGGAGAAAACTGGAGAAGAGAAGCAGATCGGCAAGAGAAGACGAAGAGAAAAGGAAAAGAAATGATGACGGGGTAGATGCAGAAGGCAAGATGAAACAAGAAAAGGAGGATAGTGCGGATGACGAAGAAGGAAGTAGGAGTAAGGCGGTGTATGAAAGAACAGACTACGATCGACAGACAGAGGAGAATAAAGAAGTGACTGGGAAGAGAGGAAGAAAGGATGACGGATTGGTAAAAGGAAGAAGTAAAGGCTGTAGCAGGAACGTGGAAGAAAGAGAAAAAAAGGACAAAAGAAATTAACGGGGTTGATGCAAAAGATAGAAGGATGAAAATATGATACACCACGTCGAGTCATCAAGAACAACAAGCAAACATGTGCTCGTTCCATTCATAAAGAAAAAGATGATATCGTGTTGAAGAGAGAAAGATAGACAAAAAAAAAGCAATATAGATAGACCGATAGAATAGATACAGAAAACAGAGGGAGAGAATCATCAGCGATAGAAAATAAAAGAAGTAAAGAAAGGAATTAGCCGTAGATGTTCATGTATGTATGTGAAAAGGTAATGCAGGAAGAAGACAATGAACGGTATCTAGAAAGAAAGGTGGAGAGGTACGTAGATGCAGAAGAACAGATAGAACGGCAAGGTGGAAGCGGCGTGGTGCAGCAAGCGAAGAGCGGGGTAGGAAGAGGTGCTTGAGGAGAAAGAGGAGAAGGAGGAGGAGGAAGAGCAGGAGAAGGAGGAGGAGGAGGAGGAGGAGGAACACACTTCGCGGGCGCGAAAGGTAAAGATTCCCTGAAACCTGTGGCATTTCGCGAGACGGTCTACCCTCTCGTCTCCCGCGACGCTGTGGGATCGATAGCGTGTCAGACGAAGAGAAGCAAGCGGCTACGGCGGCGGCGGCGGCGGCGGCAGCGGCGGCGTC